TTGTGTGTGTTGTGTGTGTTGTGGGACGCTGGGAGGGAAGGTGGTTGTGTGTTTTGTGTGTTGTGGGACGCTGGGAGGGAGGGTGGTTGTTGTGTGTTTTGTGTGTGTGTTGTGGGACGCTGGGAGGGAGGGTGGTTGTTGTGTGTTTTGTGTGTGTTGTGGGGCGCTAGGAGGGAGGGTGGTTGTGTGTTTTGTTTGTTTTGTGTGTGTTGTGGGACGCTGGGACGGAGGGTGGTTGTTGTGTGTTTTGTGTTTGTTGTTGGTCACTGGGAGGGAGGGTGTGAGTTGTGGGTCACTGGGAGGGAAGGTTGGTGTTGTGTGTTTTGTGTATGTTGTTGGCGGCTGGGAGGTAGTTTTGGTGTGTTTTGTGTTCCTGGGAGGATGTGTGGGTATTGCTTTGTGTGTGTTGGTGTCGGTGAAGGCGGGTGTGTGTTATGGGTTGATGACAGGCAGATAGTGTGTGGGTGCTATACGATTTCTCATTGTAATATGACTCTATGGCGATATTTTTGTGTGGTTTTTTGTGCCTTTGTGAATGGTGTATTTTGCAAAGAATTTTGTTTGTGTTGACTGTGGTGAAAGGTATATATTGACTTAGTTCTAGTGATGAAAGATGCTCAGACCTAACGTATTTTGAGTTTCAGAATTTTTTGACGCATGTGTGTATATTTGTTGTTTGGCAGGAATGAAGTTTTACGTTTAATGTGAATTTTTTAAAATGTTGTTGAAAGGAGGTTTATGTAAGACGTTCAGAATTTTTTGCTCTGAAGAATATTGATATTTTTTCAAAGTCATTAATATTGGAAGTGTTTTTTATGTTTTTTAATCACATATTTTGTTGCTAGGATATACTAACGTATTTTTTCTTGTATCTTATAGTACTTGGCATATTTTGTTTTTTTAATTGTTTTTTTTTCATTGCTTCAATATGAAATCCTCTGTCCATAGGTGTGCTGCCCTTGATGTCCTCTAATTTAGTGTGAATTGAAAGAAAATTTTAAATGTTAAGTTCTTTTTAATTTTCCTTTTGGTCTTGGTTATTTTAGGAATACAATTTGCTGGTTTAATTTGTTTCATGTACGTGTAAATGGCTTTTGGTAATAAGATAGATGTGTTAGTGAATTTCTTGTTACTTGTAAGTTTGCATTTTATATGTATTCTCGTTCTATAATGTATTTTGGTTTTAAATTTTTTTGATATGTTCATTGATATAATCTCGAACTTTTATAATTTTTTATTTTATTTGACATTTTGTAACCAATTATGTTTCTTACGCTGTGATATCTACTGGTATATTTCAATTATATTGGTTGAAATTTCAGTGAATTTTCGATGATGAAAGGATAAATAACCCTTCTTTGGCGTGTTTTTTATAGTGGAATTTCAATTAGTAGATTTTAATGAATTTTTGTGATATGTGAAGTATATTACAGTTAGTTTGTTTAATTTTGTGTATTTTTTAAATATTTCAACTTGAATAATTTTTTAATATGCTCAATCTTCTTTGTTTTATTTAAGTGTTCGAAAAATTGCTTTTGTGCCCAATTTTGTGTACTTTAGTGGTATTTCGTGTTTATTCATTATATTCATTTCTTTTTATATTTCAATAGGCATTCTTTAAACCAGAAGAAATGTAAATTGAGAAATTTATAAGCATTTCTTGAAGTGTTAAGTTTTT